ATGATCACCCTGCTGCAGGCAGTAGGAAGCATTTCCTCAGTCTCCTTTCCCCCCAGTGATCAGTCTGCTGCAGGCAGGAGGCAGCATTTCCCCAGTCTCATAAGGGATCAGTCTGCTGCAGGCAGGAGGCAGCATTTCCTCAGTCTCCCCACCCAGCAGTGATCAGTCTGCTGCAGGCAGGAGGAAGAATTTCCTCAGTCTCTCCTGTGATTAAACTGTAACATTGCAACTTTGTATCCAGTCGCAAGGTCAGAGGCTGGTCTGTGTCAGACATTTGTAAACACAGCCCTGATATATATTTATCAGAGGCTACGGATTACCAGACTTGATTTGGTGACCCAATTTATAATTTTTTTGTCAGTATATATCACAGATTCGGTTACAGATCATTTCTAGACACAGACAGATGTGAGGTCACACGGGACATAGCAGCGTATTTTGAGACTTACCCTCTCTAATACAATCTCTTCGTATTTGTATAATGCATCGCTGCCATTGACCTACAAAAGAGATACAATCACATTAAGGATTTCGGTCATTACAGACCAGCAAAGTCTCAGAGAACTGCAACAGCATTTACATGAGCAGAAAGCAGACAAGATAGACGTTCATGGACACAGTAACCAGAACCTCCAGAACATTTCACATGACTCACAGAAATGCCGGGCGCACAATACTTGCTCATTTCCTCCTGTGGACATGTCCTCAGTTTGCCTCCGTTAACCATATAAAGTTACAATATATACACAAGATGGCCACACGTATGGGGACCCCCTTCAAATGATGGGGTTCAGGTGTCTCCAGTGAAGGTTCTGGTAATCATACAAAGACATTGTAGACAATTGTGCTCCTCCAGTCTTGTGGTCACAGTTTGGTGAAGACCCTTTTCTGTTCCCCCATGACTGTCCACTGTGTACAAAGCCATCTCCATAAAGACATAAATTCCCCCAGACACCCTCCAATATCTTGTGGAAAGTCTGCCCAGAAGAATGGAGAATAGTATAGCCACAGAGGGAAGCCAACTCCATATTAATAGCCATGGTTTTGGAAATGGGATGTCCAACAAGCTCATATAGGTGTGATGGTCAGGTGTCCATTAACCATGAAGACATTGTAGACAATTGTGTCTTCCAGCCTTGTGGTCACAGTTTGGTGAAGACCCTTTTCTGTTCCACCATGACTGTCCCCTGTGTACAAAGCCAGCTCCATAAAGACATGGGGTGACCAACTTGGTGTTGAGGAACTTGAGTGTCCTTCACAGAGCCCTGACCTCAATCCTACTGAACACTATTGAGATGAAATGGAACGTTGAGTGTGAGCCAGGTCTTCTCATTCAACATTGGCCATATAGTGTGCGGTGACTCTCCAGCTTTAGGCAGGGAGCAGGAAGGATGGGAGGCGTTGGGGTCCTTCAGTATAAGTGTATAAACATGTTAATAGAAGTTTCTTTCATGGAGTTTGGATTATCTGGGTGCGGCTACATACCTCCCCCACAACCACCAAGAAGAACCCCAAATTGAAGAAGTCTCTGAGAAGTACATTGAAGTATTAAAGAGGAGATCCACCAGATGAGGAAGAGTCCGAGGACAAGGACAGAGCGTTGTCACCCTATAACAGGAAGTGTCTGAACAAGGACAGAACACTGTCACCTTATAACAGGAAGTGTCTGAACAAGGACAGAACATTGTCACCCTATAACAGGAAGTGTCTGAACAAGGACAGAGCGATGTCACCTTATAAGAGGAAGTGTCTGAACAAGAACCTCCATATGGCGGGATCACCGGGGTGTATTATCATGAAATTTTCAGATTTAAAACAAATGAAAATGACACAATGAAGCTTCTTTGAGATTTTGCTGATGGACATTTTTAGGGTAAATTTAGTCTTTGTCAGGAATCCTCATTTAACCCCCGAAATCCCTAAACCGGCTCTACATATGGCTCTGCTAATCTCTCCCTGGTAACAATAATCCCTTCTCCTCCATCTATAAACACTCAGCTTGGAAGATAACTGCAATAATCTCTTCACTCCCCGCCCCCCCGTCTGATCCTAATAATATAATCCGTCTGCCAGACACGTCCATAGCCCCCCCCCCCCCAATCATCAACATCCCACTCCGGGTTCTATGGGAAAACCTGAGATCTCCGCACATTGTAACCTGCTGCATGCTGGCCTACCAGTCTTCTATCTAACCTCCGTCCTCCCCTTCAGTCGTCTATCTGACCTCCGTCCTTCCCTTCAGTCTTCTATCTGACCTCAGTCCTCCCCTTCATCTTATATCTGATCTCCGTCCTCCCCTTCAGTCGTCTATCTGACCTCTGTCCTCCCCTTCAGTCGTCTATCTGATCTCAGTCCTCCCCTTCAGTCTTCTCTCTAACCTCCGTCCTCCCATTCAGTCTTCTATCTGACCTCCGTCCTTCCCTTCAGTCTTCTATCTGACCTCCGTCCTTCCCTTCAGTCTTCTATCTGACCTCTGTCCTTCCATTCAGTCTCCTATCTGATCTCCGTCCTTCTCTTCAGTCTTATCTGACCTCCGTCCTTCCTTTCAGTCTTATATCTGACCTCTGTCCTTCCCTTCAATCTTCTATCTGACCTCCGTCCTTCCCTTCAGTCTTCTATCTGACCTCCGTCCTTCCCTTCAGTCTTCTAGCTGACCTCCGTCCTTCCCTTCAGTCTTCTATCTTACCTCCGTCCTTCCCTTCAGTCTCCTATCTGACCTCCGTCCTTCTCTTCAGTCTTATCTGACCTCCGTCCTTCCCTTCAGTCTTCTATCTGACCTCCGTCCTTCCCTTCAGTCTTCTATCTGACCTCCGTCCTTCCCTTCAGTCTTCTATCTGACCTCCGTCCTTCCCTTCAGTCTTCTAGCTGACCTCCGTCCTTCCCTTCAGTCTTCTATCTTACCTCCGTCCTTCCCTTCAGTCTCCTATCTGACCTCCGTCCTTCTCCTCAGTCTTATCTGACCTCCGTCCTTCCCTTCAGTCTTATATCTGACCTCTGTCCTTCCCTTCAGTCTTCTATCTGACCTCTGTCCTTCCTTTCAGTCTCCTATCTGATCTCCGTCCTTCTCTTCAGTCTTATCTGACCTCCGTCCTTCCTTTCAGTCTTATATCTGACCTCTGTCCTTCCCTTCAGTCTTCTATCTGACCTCCGTCCTTCCCTTCAGTCTTCTATCTGACCTCCGTCCTTCCCTTCAGTCTTCTAGCTGACCTCCGTCCTTCCCTTCAGTCTTCTATCTTACCTCCGTCCTTCCCTTCAGTCTCCTATCTGACCTCTATCCTTCCTTTCAGTCTTCTATCTGACCTTCGTCCTTCCTTTCAGTCTTCTATCTGACCTCCGTCCTTCCCTTCACTCTTCTATGTGATCTCCGTTCATTGGACTTCCCTTCAGTCAATCATGGAGGCTCAGCATCACATGTGGGCGTTACCTGGGGTGATTTGTATGCAAATATATCCCATCTAGGACCGCCCACTCCTCCAGGTGACTTCCACCGATCAAGTGTGATGTTTTAAGGAATGGGACCCCTGCTGGCCCCTCCCACCAGCCATGATCTGCCTGCACTGCATAGAGAAGCTCAGGTCTAGAAAGCAATGGGAGTTCTCTTTGCATGTTCCATGAACCTCCGGCCCCGAGCTCTGTACTATATTTGCACAGACAGGACATCCAGATCCGGGAATGGAAACATTATTCTGGAACAGGACTCGGGCCCAGAGGACGTGCGCCGGCGGCTTGTACAAGGATCTCATTAACAGAGCAAATCTTATTAGGTGACCCCAGGAGGAAATAATTATCCCTCATACAACATGGGACTCTTCACTTCTACATGTTCCGGCCCCCAACCCATAATGAGACCCACAGATGTAATAAATACAATATATTTCCCCATCCCCCCCTCCACTGAGCACAGGTAACAAAGCCACCCATTCAGGGGCCCTGCACCGTGTCATCAGTCAGCCCTTAAATACAGGTTGGGGAAATTAGGGCTTGTGTATTTTGGGACGGATATGCGGGGAAGACTCCATGTTCCTGGATAAAGAATTCTTGATTGTTTGATTTGATCTGCAGTTGATCTGTTATTATCGGGACCCGTCATTAAAGGGGAACCTCGCTTTTAATGTAGTTGTCCTTTAAAAGTGACTCAGAAACTAGAAATGCGCATAAAAGAGATACACATGAAGAAT